TAAATGGTCTAAAGACAGAGGATATGCTGTCTTTGTAGTCATTCGCTCTTGGAATGCAAGCCGTTTTTAACTTCACACAGAGAAAGCTTATTTCTGTAGCACACTCGGTGAAAAATTTAGTTGTACTGTTAAAAATAATACAGAGATCTAATGTGTCTTATGCTTTTAAAACAAAAATGTCTAGAGAAGCTTTGGACTACTTCATACTCATCTAAAAATAATACAGATCTAATGTGTCTTATGCTTTTAAAACAAAAAAACGTCTAGAGAAGCTTTGGACTACTTCATACTCATCATTATTGTTAAACTTTTACCACAACACCTGTTTGATGGTGTCTTGTCTTTTACTTAATGTTTGTTTTATTGAATTTTACTCTCTCTGAATTGTCTAATGGATATGCTGTCGTTGTTCGTAGTCATTCATGGAATTTAAGCAATTTGTTTATCTTAACAGAAAGTTCCTGTAGCACATACTGTGTGAAAAAATGTATTGTACTGTTAAAAATACAGTGAATTGATTCAAGAAATGTTTTTGCTTGTCTTGCTACTTTTTTAAAAACTGTATTGTATTAATGTTGTAGCTAAGACTAGTAGATGTACAAAATACATTTATAAAAGCCAGCTTACAGTATTCTAAAACTAGGACTAACCAGGTTAGTTTTATTTATTGAGAAACCACTGCATATAAAAAATGAAAGACATTAAAATCACGTTTGTTTAACAAACATAAATTATGTAGCTTTAACATATATAGATCATGTTCATTTAACAAACATAAATTATGTAGCTTTAACGTATATAAATCATGTTCATTTAACAAACAAATTATGTAGCTTTAACATAAAAATCATGATCATTTAACAAACATAATTTATATAGCTTTAACATATTTAATTCATGTTCATTTAGCAAACATAAATTATGTAGCTTTAACATATAAAAATCATGTTGAGTAAATATAACTTTAATATGTGCAACCGATGTACATATTTTTTTTATGTTAATTCAACAGGTTTTTTTTTTCAGTGTGCAGCGCTGTCAGAATACATGCAATGCGTGCGAGTATTAGAAAAGATGAAGTTCTGCAGTTTATTTACTAATTGTTTAAGGACATTTCGCGATTTCAATCATCATACAGTAACCAGCAACAATTACCCCTTCCTCTTCTCATCGAAGACGTGTGATGTGATGCAGTACTAAACAGTCTCTCGCTGTCGGTGCTTGTCATGATTTTTGCATCTTTCTCGGACAGTTTTAAATGCTTCCACAAAGCTGGCATGTTTGTTGCATTGCGCCTCTCACTCTATGCTGGTTGCTATTTGATCGCGTCACGTCATTGTTCGGTACAGTTTATTCTGTCTTTTTCGTTTATTCGGTGGAACACCGAAATAGCTTTTTTTGCTATTTTCGGCCAAATAATTTTGGTTACCGTACATTCGGTGAATCCCTAAAGAATTGCAAGCAAACTGTTTTTTTTTATTAGGTATGCATGATAGATTGGTACCCTATCAATTACTGTTGGACATGAAATATATTTTTTGATGATCATAATTTACATTTAATAGTTTTATTAAATTGTTATTTAAAAATTAACTTAATTTAAGTATTGGCCAATATAT